TAACTTTTATTGCTAATAAGTAATATTAGCATCTATATAATAAGAAATAAACTTGGACATTTCATAACAAATTAATGCAGTAATTGAAACTTACAATAGAGAAACTAAAAAATAAAAAACATTCTGCCTTCAAAAATAAAAATACATATCTTAATTTTAGTAATTAAAATTTATAATCAAAAGTTAATAGACTCAAATTAAAACATATTATTTTAAAAAATAAAAATGCATATCTAAAATGGCATAATTGAAATTTGTAAAATCAAAATCTTAATAACTCAAAATCAAAAATAGATGCCATAAAATATAACAATACATCTTAAAAATTAAATGTAGATACATTTACTCAAAAGTCTTATTTTTTTTTAATTGGTTGTGTAACCATGTTTTTATGACATCAGTTTTCTATCTCTTAGAACATTATATTTCATTTTAACTTTTTCTATCTCCGATAAAGGTGGTAATATTCCTTTACGTGTATAATGTGAAAAATATGTTTTTGCATTTTTTATCTCTTCATTTGTCCATCGTTTTTTTTTCTTATATGTTTCACGACCTGTAATACAAATAATTCATGATAAAAAATAATTGAAAGAGATCTTGATGTAACATCTAATTATTATATAGTTACATGATTGATTTTTGCGCTTCCTTTTTCTGTTTTCGCTGTTTATACTTTCATTAGAACTGTTTGAGCTCATATTCATTACATAATCTGATATGTCACTATCTGAATCTTTTCCTATTAAAAAAACTATAATATAAACATAAATCCAAATGTAAAGAGAATAAGAAAAAGAGATCAAATTATATTTTAAAATATACATTTTGTTTAACCTAATTGTTTTTATTTAGATATAAATATGTAATAAAAAAACTTTTGATTATTAATTCACACATTGATACAAATAATTTTGATATATACTTATATATATATATATATATATATATACTTACGATAAATTAGACCTTTGTTTTTAGAATAAATATTTCGTTTCTTTCGTAGATTTGAAACTTGTTTGCTCTCTCTGTCTCTTTCTAGATTAAATTTAAATGTTATTTAATTTTAATTTTATTGTTATTAAAATCTTTTTAAGGGGATACATCTTATATAGATCAAAATAATAAATAAAAGGAAAATTATTTAATAAAAGAAAATAATATAAAAACAATATACCTTTATCTTTATTCTTCTTCTGTTCGGTTTGTATTTTTTTATCACGTTATTTTGTTTTCTTTATTTTGCGGAATTTGTTTTTGCTTTATTTCTTGTTTCTTTTTTTCGGTATTTCCTTATTTTTTTCGTTTCTACTGAGGTATCAATAGTTTCTTCATTTGTATCGACAAATGTTTGTGAGATATCAGTAGATACTTCATTTAAATCGACAATTGTCTGTGTTATATCTAATAAACAAAAATATAATTAGTAAATTAAAAATAATCTTTAATTATAGTTAGTAATGTTTAAGTATAGTTGCTATAACCTTGATTATTGAAAGAAAGATTATCCTTTTCATTGTTCATAGTTACATCAGTTTCGTTAGAGGTTGTCGTATCCACACCTTGAGCTTTTTCTAAAATTTTTGACATTTCTAGTATATCAACTTTAGCAACAGGTTGTCTGTAAATTTCTTTGTGTATATGTTCATGATGACCCATAAAGTTTGCTACCCTTGTTACTTGATTATCTGATAAATTTAAATCCACACATTTTGTTGCGACATGTTTGCGCAAAGCAGTACCACGAAGGGAGGAAATATTTTTAGCTCCACATTCACTTGCAAAACCTCGCATTAGTTTACAAGCTCTTAAATGTTTATAGTGATCTTTGTTAACACTAGGTAATCCAAACACGAAAGGATTATTTGGTGGCACCTTAGCATTTGTCCGAAATTGTAATAAAAGTTGAATACTTTTGAACATTTGCGCATCTAATAGTACTGGAACTGTTCTATTTAATTTACCGCGAATAGTAAATCTAACATATTTATGAGTTGTGCCGGTTTGTGTAGAAAATTTACATATAGTGTTAGGTCCACAGGCGCATTCATGGTTTTTATAGTCATTAATTAAAATTCTTTCAGTTTCTCCGGCTCTACGACGATTAAATACTTGAATGGCTATGAGTGTTGCTTCAGCTAGTGCTTTCCATACTTCATATGAAAATTCTTTTGATAATACTTTAATATTTTCGTGTATTTTTTTTTTCAAATAGTCACTTAAAATTTTAATATCACTTGTTCGAGGCAATACTATCTTTTTGTGCCGTTTTACTTTTGTTTGAGTTTCTATCACCACTTTATTTACAGTTCCACTAAAATCTACATCATAAATCTTCATAAAATCCTCAACATTTTTCCGTTTTATTAAATCATTGTCTACCATGTATGTAACATCTAAGATTTTACCGATCTTTTTTATACAAGTGCCGAGAGTAGATGCATTAGTTGGACGTTTATACATGTTTGTTTTGTAATCAAATTCTGCAATATCATTAATTGCCTCAATTACTGTTTTATAAAATTGTGGATCATATGCAGCAGCTAAAGTATTAATTTCGGAGTTTCGATTTCTCAAAGCTAGTACGAAACGACCTAAAAGGCGTAAATGAGCTCGTATATAATTATTCTGATGTTGATGAACTTGGCTTTTGCACATATTATTTCCATATAAAATAATTGCACGGTCATATCTTATAGCTTTGGATATTTCATCTTCTTGTAAGACCGGTAATATTTCTACTCTCATTCTTCTGCTTGTTTCTGGATGATATCTGCCAAGAACCCTTCGAGCATTTTGTAAAATTTGTCGAGAGGAACTTGAACTTGAATTTTTATTGTCCTTACATTGTTGTACATGATGTCTTAAATTATTTTGCGCATAAAATCCATTACAATAAGGACAATTAACAAAATTTGTACCATTCCGTTTAGTCTCTTTTGTAGGTCTTCTAACAGTTATCAATTTCCCATGATTATAGTCCTTTGTTGCGTTGAAAATAAAGTTTCCTTTTTTTCTTATGCTTGCTATTTTGTGCCAACGTTCAGCACATCCTTTTGGTAAGTTTAAGAAATCTTTAACTTGATCTTCATCACAGTGTTTATTTTCCAAATGACGCGCTATTTTAGTTTGTAAAGTCTTGCAAAATACACAAAAATTTTTTTTGTTATCACCTTTAGGACCATTTGACATTTCAGCAGTTAATTCCAAATCATTACATGCACTATTTCCAGGAACATTAAATTTTAATTGACTATATTCATCGCTTTCGGATGCACTGTTTGTTTCATTAATACTATTATTATTAATATCAGAATCATTTGCCGTTACTTCTGTATTATTAATTTCTGATGAACATTGAGTTTCATCAGTTGGGTTGTATTCACTGGTATTTTGAGTTTCACTCATTTTTAAACTCTTATTGCTATCATCTAAAATAAAAAATGTATATAAACAGTATATCTAAAAGTATATCTAAAATCGTGTAGCTAAACAATTTAGTATATAGGATGTCCTAAAATCATTTGGAAACGATTTCTCCTCTGTGAAAATGTCGAGGCACCAATAGTTTCCTAATTATAATTAATTAAGAAAGAAGGGTGTTTCGTAAATTATACTCTGTAGAGATAAAATGTTAATAAAATTAAGTTATTCAGTTAATTTCAAGTAGAGTTTATTTTAATAGAATTTTAAGGTTTAATTAAGAAAGCCCATGGCGACAAAAAATATAATCTTGTAAAAAAAGTAATGACACTTTCGCAGAGAAAAAATCTCCAAATGGCCTCAATAATCTGTCATCAAGAAGAGGAACTCTAGTTGTGAAACACACGATATATATGTAAATATATACTATATCAGATAAAACATATTCCAGTATCTTATTTTTAAAATAAATTAATAAATATAATTAATTTTTATAAATAAATATAAAATATCTAAAATCTTTATAAATTATTTTCTACCACTTACCACAGTTTGATAAATTTAAAAATGATGTAGATTTCTCATTAGATAATTTAAATTTCGAATATTTATTTCTTGTTGTAGATTTAAGTATTCTTTTTCGTTCCATCTCAATGTTTGTTGGTGTTGTTTTTAAGATAGCATATGATTTATTACATACAATATTTTCAGTAATTTTTGGCGTTATTTTCTTTGAATTACAATCATTAAAATGCGTACTGATTTTCTGATGTGTGTCTTTAGAATACAAAAAACAATTATTAAAAAATTTACACTAATATTTATACTAATCTAATATACAAAATATTTTAAAAAATAATTTACCTTTAATTTCTGCATGAATAATAGGAGAGCCAATATTAATCATGTTTTGATTTATATTCTCTTTATCTTGTAGATCAATTGATATTAATTCTTCATTGTTATGTATATGCATTGGCGAGTCTTTATTTTCAGTAACAACAAAATTGTTATTATTCATATAATTTCCATTTAAATTATTTTCAGTCAATTCATTATTTGCGTTGCTATGCGTTTGTTGATCAATATTAAAAAGTAACTCACACATATTTTCTGATATTGAAGATTCTTTATTTAAAATGAATATTAAACTTGAATCTATAATATCACTTATATTGCTAGATGTATTAGCTTTATCATTGCACTCATTCACTGTGCTTTCAGTGACATCTAAATTTACTTTTTCGCTGACATCTAAAGCAGTTTCTATTATTTCACTGACATCTAAAGTAGTTTTCACTCTTTCATTGATCTCTAAAGTAGTTTCTGTTCCTTCACTGACATCTAAAGCAGCTTTTATTCTTTCGCTGACATCTAAAGCAGTTTCTATTCTTTCGCTGACATCTAAATCAGTTTTCACTTTTTCATTGACCTCTAAAGTAGTTTCTGTTTCTTCACTAACATCTAAAGTAGCTTTTATTCTTTTGCTGACATCTAAAGCAGTTTCTATTCTTTCGCTGACATCTGTAGTAGTTTTCACACTTTCATTGACCTCTAAAGTAGTTTCTGTTCCTTCGCTAACATCTAAAATAGCTTTTATTTCTTCATTGACCTCTAAAGTAGTTTTTATTCCTTTGCTGATATCTAAAGTAGCTTTTATTTGTTCGCTGATATCTAAAGCAGTTTCTATTCTTTCGCTGACATCTAAAGTAGTTTTCACTCTTTCATTAACCTCTAAAGTAGTTTCTGTTTCTTCGCTAATATCTAAAGTAGCTTTTATTCTTTCACTGACATCTGAAGTAGTTTTCACACTTTCATTGACCTCTAAAGTAGTTTCTGTTCCTTCGTTAACATCTAAAGTAGCTTTTATTTTTTTATTGACCTCTAAAGTAGTTTTTATTCCTTTGCTGATATCTAAAGTAGCTTTTATTTGTTCGCTGACATCTAAAGCAGTTTCTGTTCTTTCGCTGACATCTAAAGTAGTTTTCATTCTTTCATTAACCTCTAAAGTAGTTTCTGTTTCTTTGCTGACATCTAAAGTAGTTTTCATTCTATCACTGACATTTAAAGTAGTTTTAATTTTTTTGCTGTTATCTAAAGTAGTCTGTATTCTTTCGCTGACATCTAAAGAAGTCTCCATTCTTTTGTCATCTAAAGTAATTTCTGGCTCACAATTGCTACTTGTAATAAAATTGTTATTATCCACATTAGCTAAACTTGTCTTCTCTTTATGTTTTGCAATGTCTACTAGTTTGATTGCTACATTTCGTATTTTAAAATTTTTTTCTGAAACTGATTGGCTTGGATGATCAATGTTTTTCTTATTTATAGGTCGCTGTTTAGTACCTTTATTTAAAAATAATATATTTATTTATAGTATAAAGTAAAGTAATATATGCATTAAAAGTATATTATACGTAATATAATAAAATTGAAGTAATTAGCAATTTTAAAGAAATATTTTTATAAAAGATTAAGGTGCATGAAAATATTATATCAAGTAATATATGAAAAACAAACTACTTTCTAATTTCATTAAAAAATCACTCTTCAAAATATTATGGAAATAATAAGCGTGATCTACAATACGTGGAGTAAGCCTGGCGTAAAGAGTAATAATATTTTCGAGGAGGTTATTTTCAGTTTAAAAAGCTGGATTAAGGACATAAGCGTAAGAGTAAAAGTAGGAGTAGTAAGAAATACAATTAATTTATTTCGTTTACGCCGTTAATTCAACTTGTTTAAACCGAAAATAATCTTCTTATTTTTCTACTCTTACTCGATCCTTACGCCAACCTTACTTTTCACGTATTGTAGACCACGCTTTATTACAAGCAGAGAAAATAACGTAAATTATTACACGTCAGACGTAATTAATAAAATATTTTCTTACGTTTTGCTGGCATTTTTATTCTTTCGTAACACTCAGTAAGTTAAATTAACGGTTGTTCGTGATGGAATACATCAAGAACTTTAGTTGTTAAGACGAGCCGGGTTTTTCCCGCGGCGGGACCATAATAACGATATCGGTAGAAAGTAAAGCGAGTCATTCTCATGGATGCGCAGTAGATCAACCAATCACATTCGGCCCATTTCATGAAAATTCAATATGACTGATAGCAAGTCACAAAGGTAGTAAAAATTACATTTTTATATATATGTATATCGTATATATATATATATATATATATATACAGAATGTCTAGTAAGAATTGTATCAACGCTCGTGAGAGCGGAGAAAGGTATAGTAAACTGAAGAAAAAAGTTCTTTATTTTTTTTGAAAATTTTGTAATAATTATTGAGATATTAATTAAAAAGAATTGGCAAATTTTTGTTGTTAGCAGTTTTTATCAGTATCCTATATTTATATTCTCCAATAATTTATTTCCTCCAATTATTTACTTAATTTAAATATATTTATGTCTTGAAATAAATCAAAAGTATGAAAAGGGTGAAAATGTCCCGGAAACTACTATTCCGAATCTAATGTCCTGGAAACTGTTATGTCCTGGAATCTACTAATATATAAATTTCCTGGAAACTGCCATGTCCTGGAATCTACCAGTCTGTGAATGGCCTGGAAACTGCCATGTCCTGGAATCTACCAGTCTGTGAATGGCCTGGAAACTGCCATGTCCTGGAATCTACCAGTTTGTGAATGGCCTGGAAACTGCCATGTCCTGAATCTACCAGTCTGTGAATGGTCTGGAAACTGCCATGTCCTGGAATCTACCAGTCTGTGAATGTCCTGGAAACTGCCAAATTCGATTTTTCCTTAGAAAGGATAAAAATACATCTCTTTTATTTAAGTAGGAGTTATTAAATGGCAAGAGAAATATTTTAGAACCATTTTTATTTTCTGTACCGGAAACTGCCACTGGACATATATATATATATATATATATATATACGCACATATGTGCATAAGCATATATAAAATTTACAAAAAGTAGGTACTTAATAGCCTTGCTACGCTATTGCCTTCTGCTACGGAAGGCCAGAAAGCATTTTCAGGCCGCATCTCGCGTATACCGGCACGGTAGAGAACAAGGAGAACACGTGATTATCGGTTCTTGTCTTTTTACGGTGCGTCCGCGTGAGCAATGCAATGGCACAGATTAATAGACAGATCGCCAAAGGTCTGGATGAAGGAGAGACCAGCATTTCTCACTGATTTCAGCGCCATATCGTGGTAGTGGTCAATGCAGTAACTATTAATACGTTCCTAAGATGAGCGTCTCATGCTCATGAACTCGTCCGGCGGCATGTACGAGATTTATCTTTTCGTAGCGTTCGCGTATTTCGGAAAGGACAGAATTTTATGATGTTATAAATAAATAAATAAATAAATAAATAAAATATTAACCTGACCTATTATAATTATTTTTTAATAAATGTTTCATTATTATTATCATCTAAGTCTAAGTCGTTTAATTAATTTTTAGTTTTTTAATAATTAATTTAATTTATTCTAATCATTTTAATATGTGAAAAATACTAATACGTATACGTTTTATAATGAATTAATATATTTCGAGAGTCGAATTATATATTTTTAATAATATAAAAGTGTTCAAAAATTATATTTGACTTTTAATTTTAATTATTTTAGCAAAGAGTTCCGAAATCTCTTACACACATAATAGGGATTTTGTTCATCCATATAATTCGCAATTAAGTATATATGTTAATTATTAATTTTAATAAAATACAAAATTAAAATTAAAGGTCAAATATAATTTTTGAACATAAATATATTTAATTCGTTATAAAACGTATACCCGTGATAGTATTTTTCTCGTACAAAAATAATTAGAACAAATTAAATTACTCATAAAAAATAAAAAAATAATTAAATAATTTATATTATATATGATAATAATAAAACATTTTATAAAAAAAACAGATTCAATAAATATAAGTATATATATAACATGTACTTATATTTATTGAATCTGTTTTTAATAAAATGTTTTATAAGCTTAGAAAACTTGACTTTGACGTAACTAGCAAATTTTATTTAATTATTTCACGACGGTTTGACGTAATAAAATGTTTATTATTATTATATAAAATATAAGTTTAAATTCTTTAAGGGGTTATACCTACCTGCAAGGTCTGAAAAACACGTATTTTTGGGAATTTTTTTTTTAAATATTTGAAGTGCTTTAGAAAGGAACATTTATGTTTTCAAATATATATATTTCAAAGATTATTTAGTATTTTTTTTATTGCAAAATGTTGATAAATAAAAAAGATATGCTTAATCTTCCAGAAGCAGTTTTTTGAAAAGCGTTTTGCGGTGACCACTCTAACTTTGAACTGGTTTACCAGAAATCAAAAAACCCGAGAAATTTAGTTAATATATAAGATTATCTAGTGCCCGATCGTTCATTTTTTTGAAAAATTAATTTGCGACAAAATGGCGGCTGTTCAAATTTGAAGGTATGATTTTGCTACCAAAAATTCGCTCGTTTTTTATTATTAAAAAAAAATACGCAACGAAAAAACAAAAGCCACGATCGGGCACTAGATTTTTTAGTATTAAAGATGTCTACCAAATTTTATTTCAATCGATGCAGCGGTTTTCGACATATTTTGGTCACCGATTTTAAAATGCTGTTTTGAGAAAAACGCATTTGAAGTTTCAAATTAAGTTCACAACCAAATAATATATTTATATATATATTTATATATATTTATATATATTATTTATTTATATATATTTTGGCTTTGTATAGAGACCGCTTTTGTCCGCGTCGCAGCTGCCGTTCGATACCTGAGACCCGTTTCTGTACCCTGCTTCTAAACAGCAGGATACGTTCACACCAGTATACCTTTAAACTCACATAACTTCGTTAATTTTTGTCGAATCGACTTGAAATTTGCAGGGAATATTTTTGAAAGTATGTACTTTAAGAAAATATCAAAATCCAAAATCGATTTTTTTGAAGTTTGCAGGTAGGTATAACCCCTTAATTAATTTTTAATCTTTTATGATTAATTTAATTTACTCTAATTATTTTTGTACGAGAAAAATACTATCATGGGTATACGTTTTATAATTAATTTAATATATTTGTGTTTAAAAATTATATTTGACCTTTAATTTTAATTTTTATTTTATTAAAATTAATAATTAACATATATACTTAATTGCGAATTATATGGATAAAAAAATCCCCATTATGTGTGTAAGAGATTTCGGAACTCTTTGCTATAAAATAATTAAAATTAAAAGTCAAATATAATTTTTGAACACTTTTATATTATTAAGAATATATAATTCGATTCCCGAAATATATTAATTCATTATAAAACGTATACGTGATATTATTTTTCTCATATAAAAATGACTAGAATAAATTAAATTAATTATTAAAAAACTAAAAAGTAATTAAACGACTTAGACTTAGATGATAATAATAATGAAACATTTTATTAAAAAAAGATTCAATAACTAGTAGGTCAGGTTATAATTTTTTATTTATTTATTTATAACATTATGAGCTATTAAGCTCATCATCTCGTTCGCTCTCTGTCTTGCTTTCATTCGGCAAGTCACAAACGATATATGATACTCGTATGTTCCTACTTCAACTCTCGAGAATCTGAAACAAACGAAACTCGTGTCCAATATACAGGGTGTCCGGTAACTAACAGACCAATGATTACAAATGGATTCTTTGGTCAATTTGGGAACGATTTTTCCTCAGCGAAAATGTCGAAAAAGGTCATCATTTTTTACAACTTTCCAATCTTTGTCATTATGTATCTTTATAACTAAGCCTTAAATTAAAATTTTATTATAGTAAACTCTACCTGAAATTAACTGAAGAATGTAATTATGTTAGACTTTTAACTCCAAAACGTTTAGTTTTCAAAAAACCTATTTTTTTCAATCGCTTATAACTCGAAAATTATTGACTTCTCAACATTTTTGCTAAGGAAAAATCGTCTCCAAATTGGCCAGAGAATCCGCCCTTAATCATTGGTCCGTTAGTTACCGGACACCTTGTATATATTATATAAAAGTGTATAGCACGTCAGAAGCTTGTGAGCTTACAGCGATAAGTAAAAACAATTGCGTATTTATTTCATTGCGTTTATCTGTTTAAACGCGCGCTTTAATTTTTCCAACGTTTTTGCCTGTTTATATTTTAAAGGTCCTCTCTTCTAAAAATCTTGTTTTAAAGATCCTCTCCGCGAGCAAAATTCGAAAACATAAATTATTTAATATTTTTACTTTATTATTTGTAAATCCTCGGTAATTTCAAAATTTTTCTATTTGAAAATTATTAATTTTCTATTGCCAATTAATTTTATCACAGACTTTACTCTTACTCCCATTGCACTTTCGTTTGCGGTTTTCAGTATACGATTTTTTATCGTAGTTACTGAAAATTATTATTGTGAATTATACTTGTGCAGTGATTTGAAGAATTTACAATTTCGTTGAAATTGTTGATTTTTCAAAAAAATTACGAGATTCGCGGAAATTGCGTGCTTTCTTGGCATTTTCCGTTCGCGGCAGGCGGTTTATTTTTGATTGTTGCAAGTGTTTTTGTTTTTTTTTATTAAAATAGATAATAATAATGTGAAATAAATCACGATATTTGACAGATGTGCATATATATAGAAATTGTAATAATAATAATATTATATCATAAAATTGTAAATTGTTTCAATTTTTTATAGACTGCGATAAAAGATTTTACATTTGGATAAGAAACTGCGGTAAGTAAAAATATAAAATTCTTGAAAACGTACCAAAAATATTTGATAACGTAAAAAGGTGAACTTTGAAAAATAAGGAACTTAAAAATTGCACTAATAAATGGGCTATATGTGAGCCGTGCGCGGATGTAAGGTGTGTTATATCGAAATTTAATTAATAGAATTGAGAATTAATCCCAATTTTAAGTCTTACAAATGTCCAAGCTAATTTTTTGTACCTCGTGTACATTTTTGAAAGTTATATCGAAAAATTAAATTTCAATATGCGTCTTACATCTCACATTTCGCATACGGCTCACATAT